AACCAGTGGGATGTCAGGGTAAGGATAAGGATGAGGGTCAACGCCATGGCAGGGATATGGTATGAGTGAGGGTGAGGGGTGAGGTGGTGGTCACAAGCGTCAGGAGAGGAGGTGAAGGTATTTAAAAACGGGGATAAGAGAGGGCAGTACCTGGTGGAGATTACTTTATTAGTGAGATTAAAAAGGTACAGGACAACAAAACCCAAACAACAACAAAACTAAGCAGACAGAAAGAGAACACGAAAAACTGAACACTGAAAAAAACTGTACAAAACGAGTGGATAGGGGAAGGGGAAATTTGAAAGTAATGAGTAGAAGGTGGCTTCAAAGTGATGCGGCAAAACCCGAAAACTGCATTCCCTGTCCCATGCCAAAGAAAGAGATCACGGCCTAAACCTGATCTCAAGCCGGAACGAAGGATGGAGGGTGAGCCCATCCAGCCAGTGATGAGTCAAGCACGGAGTTTGTTGGTCTGTCTACAGGCCAACTCACCCCACAGGATGTTAAGGAGGAAGCGAGAGGCTTCCTCGCGGAGTTCAGACGTGTAATAGATCGGTCACGACCCACTACAAGGAACCGTCTGAGTGCTTTATTCCATCAGAACAAGCTGGAGTTGTGTTTGTTGTTAGTGAGAGTAGAATGTTTGTGTGTGAAGGAGAAAGTTTTTGTTTTGTTTAGATGCAGCTCGTGCGTGGGATTGCGCGTCTAGATCGACCTAGCCAACACAGGGTCCTCCACCGAGGTGGAAAAACCCGCGTCGGCTCGGTCGGTCGTCAGTTAGACACTCAAGGTACACCCATTCAACCTGGGTGTACCTTGCGTGGCGTAACATGAGCCCTGTAGCGGCTCCGTGATCGATGCACGATCGACGGCTCCTCGAGGTCAGGCAGGGAGTCCTGTGAACCGACGCGGAAGTCCTGGGAATCGGCGGACCAATTCCCGATGCTTCCGCGCTGTCCCAGGGGTCCCCTGGCAGGGAGCATGGCTCCAGCCGAGAGCCAAAGCCCGGCCTCGAGAACGCTCTCGTCATCGATGTCGGAGTCGCTACTGTCGTCGTCAAGAATGGTGTCATCCAATCTACGACGACGAGCTTGGGGGACAGGAGGATCCTTCTTGTCTTTTTTGGTATGCATGGATGGTGGTGAGGTTTGTTTGCGTTTGTGATCAGTGGTATTTGTAGTTTGGCGTGCCAGTGTAGTTTCTTTTTGTCTTCGTTGTGTATGAGGTTGCAAAACGAGGTGTCGGTGTTGTGAGGAAGAATGAGGTTCTGGGTGAGTGTCTGTCACCTCATTTCCTGTGGTTTCTGTGTTTGTTGTGGCGTACTCAGGGATGTATAGGTTGTCGTCTTCAAAGATTTCCTCAGGGACAACAATGCTGGGGAAGCCGTTTCTCTGGAGCATAATAGGGACAATGTTTGCGAATCTTTTTGCGTTGTATTTGGCAGCGATGAGACTTACGTGTAATATGGCTTGGATTTTTGGGTTTGTGTTTGGTGTGAGGGTGCTTGTTGGGGGTTGTGTGGGCAGAGTTGTCCGAGGGGAAGTCGTGGGTCGTCTGGGTGTACTGGTCTGAGCAGGTCGTGTAGCAGCTGTTGTTGCGTAGGAAGGGACAGTGTTGTTGTCTTGGCGGAGCTCAGCTCGTTTTGCCTTAAGTATTTCCTTCCGTTTAGGGCAGGATCCACTAATTGCGACATGCGATCCCTCGCAGTTGCAGCATTTGATGGTTTCAGTGCACCTGGCGAAGAAATGACCGTCGCCGGCGCACCGAGAGCATCTCTGGGGGTGTGTACATTGTTGTTTCTTGTGGTGAAATCGGTAGCAGTTAAGGCATTGGTCTATGTGAATAAAACATTCGGGTTCCAAGTTGTAGGTGGGGACCGATGTATTAAACATCATGAGTCCCCAAGAGAGAAGTTTCTGGGCTTCCTCGGGGGATGAGACGCGAATCGTCAAGATTCGCGACTCGGGTGGCTTGTAAACGTCGAGAACAGTGACACCGTTCTTGACGGAAACCTCTTGGCAGATGGACTCGCACGATCGTGGGGGGATCGTCTTGTCGATCTTTTTCGCCACGATCGTACACTTAGCCTTCATCTCGGGGGAGGGAACAGGTGAGAAGTCGTGATCTTTTAACTTTCTTTGGCCGTCGGCCGAAAGAAATGGGGTCAAGTGTTCGGGTTTGGCAACTGTCACCTTGAAGCCATTATGGACCTTAAAGAGGTGTGTGACTGCCACCTCAGTGATAATGAAGGAATTCTGGAGAGCCTCCTCGCAAGAGATAGGCTCCCCAGAATACGCTAATTTGATAACGTGACCCATAGGGTTACGCCATAGCGAGGGTGATGGATGATAGGTAGAGGGGAGGCTAGCAGAGCTAATTCAACTGGACGATGAAAGGGCGGAAATGGTATAAAAAAAAAAGAAAGAAAAGAAAACGGTGAAGCACACAGGGTAGCCAACAGTCTCTATTTGGGAAGGCAGGTCGGGGTCGGAACCCTGTCGAACGGGCGTGAGCCCTTATGTGTTCGGCCGAACACTTCGCAGCGAAACTATCGGCTGCCACTGTGCGTCGTGCTTTTAATTACTCGCACATTAAGGCTGTAATTAAAGGCACTAGCCCAAAGCAGGTATTGCGCAACTGCACCCAAAGCAGTTGCACCAAGAGCCAATCGTCTTGTCCGTCGTGGGGGTGTCAATCTCTTTACTTCATCCACGATGACAAACACGAAAAACCTCGGACCCAAAGATCCAAGTAAATCCTCGGTCTGCTTCTTCCTGAGACGTCCTTATATTCTGCGACTGCTGGCATGCTGTCGGGTGCCTGCTTTTCATTTTTCGGGTGTCAGTTAATATATATATAGTATTATATATATATATATATATATATATATATATATATATATATATATATATATATATATATATATATATTATATATATATATATTATATATATATATATATATATATATATATATATATATATATATATATATATATATAATATATATATATATNATATGTTTGCAATCACCTTGTTGATGACATCATGTATTAATTGTCCCATTTCTCATCAAGGATTTCCTTTGATCACAGGTAAAGTTGGCCAGGTCTCTGGTCCTGCTTACACCGGGGAAATGGGCGGCGCCAACGCACACTGTGCCAGCCACACACTTCTCCGCACGGCCAAGCCCGCTCTGGTATAAATTCAGCTCTTGAAAAGCCGGCCAGACTGTTTCCTATCTGTACAGATACAAACAATCATTCGCAATGGCTCGTACCAAGCAGACTGCCCGCAAGTCTACCGGGGCAAGGCCCCCCGCAAGCAGCTGGCCACCAAGGCAGCACGTAAGTCTGCCCCTGCTACCGGAGGTGTCAAGAAGCCCCATCGTTACAGGCCTGGTACTGTTGCCCTTCGTGAGATCCGTCGTTACCAGAAGAGCACTGAGCTCCTCATCCGCAAGCTGCCCTTCCAGCGCCTCGTCCGTGAGATTGCCCAGGACTTCAAGACTGACCTCCGCTTCCAGTCCTCTGCTGTCATGGCTCTGCAGGAAGCCTCCGAGGCTTACCTGGTCGGCCTCTTCGAGGACACCAACCTGTGCGCCATCCACGCCAAGCGTGTAACCATTATGCCCAAGGATATCCAACTTGCTCGCCGTATCCGCGGAGAGCGCGCCTAAGATTTTGGTTGCTAGCTTGCTTGCATACATCAAAATCATCCTCCTCGGCCCTTTTCAGGGCCTAAACTAATCAATATTGAGATGAAAACATGACATGCTTCCTTTTTTTCTTGTTTGCTTTAGTTTTGATGTCAAATAACCAGCAATGACGATTAGAATCAATGACATTGCATAGATAGATAGATAGGTATGCAACTAGTAAGGTAAGGCACGAAGCCATGCATGACTGACTTTCAACATGTTGTCAACGCACTTGATTTCCTTATCGTATACGTTTCGGTATGAATACTATGCCAAATATAAATACTACAACAATATACATTGTTTGTCGACCGACAAACAGACATACAGACACACACTGTCTTAAACATAAGTCCTTACTAAAATATAATAATAATGTGACTAACAGACTGACTAAAATATTGACTATATATATGTTAATGACTGACTTCAAAGTTCAACAAACAAACACACTTGTGTGTAGGCAATAATCAATATAAAACAATAAACACTACAATCACCAAACACCCCACCTAACCTACCTCAACCAATATATTATATAATATTTTATAGAAAACACTAAGAAATATACAATTACAAATCAAAGCTTGCGCCAACCATTAAAGCACGTGGTTATATCCCCGCATATTTGATCTTGTTTGCTTGTTTATGTGTATAATAATAATGTTATATAACATTGAAGATCGAATGACACATGCTTTTTTATATATTATAAATCAATATAATGTCTTGACAATTATACAAATCTATCTATCTATCTATCTAATATATATACACACACACACACACACCTACAACATATATATATTATATATATATAATGTATGTATATATGTCTAACTATATACATAATATATGAAATATATATGTATACATATACACGTGTATGTCTAATATAAATCTATTCACCCACTCTCTGTCTCTTACATTAATACATACCCTATTCATTGATATGTCATGAATAATGCATGTGGTATATTTCTAATTATGGAAGACATATATGTTACTATGATATACAGGCATATATACTTTCAACATATATTTCTATACATCTATATATATATTCACACACAGCTTTCATCTCTCTCTCTCTCTCTCTCTCGTATATCATACACACACTTCCTCTATCCTTAATCATACAGACAAACACACACACACTTCAGTAAAAACGATTAAAATGAATCCCTTACTCGAAATCTAACGATTCAAACGACTATTACATTGATATTTATATTACTGTACTTTGAAAGAATGCACAAGGCAAATTGGTTAATGTCATTTCTATCTACTTTTGCATGTTCTGTGGCTCCTAAAGGAGCCGATGTTGTTGTAGGAGACCGGAGAAACCGAGCAACCAAGCAATTTACTTAGAGGAAGTGTACTTGGTGACGGCCTTGGTGCCCTCGCTGACAGCGTGCTTGGCCAGTTCACCGGGGAGCAGAAGCCTGACGGCGGTCTGAATCTCCCGGCTGGTGATGGTGGAACGCTTGTTGTAGTGGGCAAGGCGGGAAGCCTCAGCGGCAATGCGCTCAAAAATGTCATTCACGAAAGAATTCATGATGGACATGGCCTTGGAGGAGATACCGGTGTCAGGGTGGACCTGCTTCAACACCTTGTAGATGTAGATGCTGTAGCTCTCCTTCCTCCTGCGCTTCTTCTTCTTATCACCCTTGGTGATAGACTTTTGGGCCTTACCGGCCTTCTTGGCAGCCTTTCCGGAAGTCTTGGGTGGCATGATTGACAACACTCGCAAGAGGTATTGCTATAAACTCCGTTGAATGGACTAAAGGGGAGGAATTAAGGGCTCCTTAGTGCAGGAGGGGGTTGAAGCTAGGGGTAGCTGGCTACCTAAAATGAAGGAAAGTATGAGATTTATAGGAGGGGGGCGAGGCCCCTTGCTTAGTTTTTGTTTTGTTTTTTCATGCCTTTATGTTGTTATGTCGCAGAGAGGATTAATATACAGATATATATATATTGTCGGAATAGACACCATGCAATGATATACATACATACACATATATACATACATACATACATACATACATACCCGAATAATTTTTTTTTTTTTTTTTTTTTTTTTTTTTTTTTTTTTTTTTTTTTTTTTTTTTTTTTTTTCGCCTGCTAGGGATTATCATAACGAGAATGTCTCGCTATGATAGCCTATTGCAGGTGAGACCCTCGCCTGCCTCCCTCCCAGCTCCACGGAGCTGAGAGCGAGGTTCAGTGGGTCACTCTTTTCTTTTTGTTTTGTTTTTGTTTTGTTAATTAACATAAGGGAGAACGAGTTGCACACAAAAGGTAAACAATAAACGTAGTAATAGATAACAAACATGAAAGTGTATAGGAACAGTAAACGTAAAAGAAACAGGAAACGTAAAAAAAGAGACAATAAACGTAATTATAACACAAACATGAGAATACTTAATAAATGAGATTTTTTGTTTTCTTTTGTTGTTTTTATTCTTTTTTATTTGATTATTTTCGCCTGCTAGGGATTATCATAACAAGAATGTCTCGCTATGATAGCCTATTGCAGGTGAGACCCTCGCCTGCCTCCCTCCCAGCTCCACGGAGCTGAGAGCGAGGTTCAGTGGGTCCCTCTTTTCTTTTTGTTTTGTTTTTGTTTTTGTTAATAAACGTAAATATAGAAAACAGACATGAAAAGTGTTTAGGAACAATAAACGTAAAGAAACAGTAAACGTAAAAAAAAGAGACAATAAACGTTATCATAACACAAGCATGAGAATACTTAATAAATGAGATTTTTTGTTTTCTTTCGTTGTTTTTATTCTTTTTTATTATTATTATTTTCGCCTGCTAGGGATTATCATAACAAGAATGTCTCGCTATGATAGCCTATTGCAGGTGAGACCCTCGCCTGCCTCCCTCCCAGCTCCACGGAGCTGAGAGCGAGGTTCAGTGGGTCCTCTTTTTTTTTTTTTGTTAATAACGTAAAACAAACAGAACAGTGTTTAAGAACAATAAACGCAAAAAGAAACAGTAAGCGTAAAAGAGACAATAAACGTAATTATAAAACAACATGAGAAATACTTAAGAAAAGAGATATTTTTTTCTTTTGTTGTTTTTATTTTTGTTTGATTATTTTCGCCCGCTAGGGATTATCATAACAAGAATGTCTCGCTATGATAGCCTATTGCAGGTGAGACCCTCGCCTGCCTCCCTCCCAGCTCCACGGAGCTGAGAGCGAGGTTCAGTGGGTCCCTCTTTTGTTTTTGTTTTTTGTTAATTAACTCAAGGGAGAACGAGTTGCACATAGAAGGTAAATGTAGAAAACGAACATGAAATAAACGTAAAAAGAAACAGTAGACGTAAAGAGAAACAATAAACGTAATTATAAAACAAACATGAGAGATTTTTGTTTTCTTTTGTTGTTTTTATTTTTTTTTTTTGATTATTTTCGCCTGCTAGGGATTATCATAACAAGAATGTCTCGCTATGATAGCCTATTGCAGGTGAGACCCTCGCCTGCCTCCCTCCCAGTTCCACGGAGCTGAGAGCGAGGTTCAGTGGGTCCCTCTTTTCTTTTTTCTTTTTTGGCTGATAAATATTAACAAGAACATATAAACATAAACTTAAAAACAACTAATGAGTGAAGTAGAGTGGAGCGGGGAGAAGTAATAGTTGTAAGAAATAGTGATGGTCAGATAGAGTTATGGTAACGCAACTCAGGCTAACAAAAAGAAAAAATAAAGAAATGAATGAATGGTATGTGGTTGGGTGATGTGATGTGTGGGCATGATGGTTACCCTCTGCGCACGGAAAGACATCCCCCGACTCGCGCACACTCGCTCAGCGAGGGTGCACGGCCCGGGGGCCCCTTCCCTGCCCAGGAATGTAATTCGCCATGCTCGGTGCTGTGAGGTGATTTTTTTGGCGTGGAAGCGATCCTCCGATCCGAGTACACGCACTAAGTGGGTGTGGTCGGACCGGAGGCTCCTCCCCCGCCGAGCTTGTAAAAAGCGGTGATGGTGTGCCTGAGTTGCGTTGAAAACAGTAGTATAAAAACGAACAAATAAACATAGAATTAAAGTACATAGAGGGGTTCAGGGGGATCTCCATTTATGTGCGGTAGTGTCCTGGGAAACCATGCGTGGTTCGTGTGTGTGTGTATGTGTTTTTGTATGATGTCGTCATAGTTTGTGTTGTCTATATGTTGTATGCGATCCCAGGTTCGCTTGGCGAGTGTGTGTATGCGTATGTTTAGTGGCTCTATGTTATATGTTCGGTGTAGTGACTGTGCAGTGATTCCGTGGTATATTCTGTCCTGTGTTGTGGTGTTGTTTATCCAGTATAGTGCTTTGTTCTGTATGGATTGCATCCTGTGTTTTTGTGTTTTAGAGATTGCAATCAGTGGTGTGTGTATTCGATGGGTCTTACAGTAGTCTTGTAGAGTTTGAGTTTTGTTTGTGTTGAGCAGTATGAGAAGCGTCTGATTTTGTTGAGAGCTGTGCATGCTTGGCTTATTCTGTGTTGTGCGTGTTTGGAGATACCGTGTTTGCTGAAGTGTAGGCCTAGCATGTTTCCTTTGTTTGCGTAGGGTATATCTCTGTTGTTTATTGTGATTGGGGGTGGGTTGTAGCGAGCCAGTGGTATGATGGTGAATTTGTTTGTGTTTGTTTGTATCTTCCATTTGTTTTCGTAGGTGTTGATTGTGTTGATGGCTGTTTGTGTGGCTGCTTTCATGATGTTTTTGGATTTGGAGGGGTGTGAGATGATTTGTGTTATGTCGTCTGCGTATGCTGTGTAGTTGCTGTAGGGTGCTGGGGTGGTAATGAGGCGGTGTAGAGGGTGTAGAGGGTTGGCGAGAGGACGCTGCCCTGCGGTACTCCACTTCTGAGGTGGATGGAGGGCCCGAGATAAGACCCAAGCCGGATGTTGGCCGATCTGTCGTCCAGGAAGTTGCATAAGAGGCGTGTGAGATGTGGAGGCAAGTGAAGCTGTGTTATTTTGTATTTGAGACCGTCGTGCCAGACCTTATCGAAGGCCTTGGTGACGTCTCGTAGTATAATGTTGGTTTGGTGCTTGTTTGCGAGACTGAGAGCAATCTCCTCGTACGCGAGGGCGATTGCACTCCCAGTCCCTCTGTGTGGGCGAAAGCCGTGTTGCCTAGTGTTGTGTGTGTTGTTGTTTTCAAGGTGTGTTTTCAGTCTGTGTGTGATTAGCCTCTCAAGCATCTTCCCGGGGACCTCCAACAAGGAGATCGGCCTGAAGCTGGTCACCTCGTGAGGTGGCTTCCCCGGCTTGGGTATTAGGACGAGCGTGGCTCTCTTGAAACGGGAGGGAAAGTATCCCGTTGCCAGGGCAGCGTTGAAAATGTGGCGAAGTCTGGCGAGCATGATGGGTGGGAGGTGTTGCATGATGAGTTTGTTGATGTTGCTGGCTCCTGGTGTTGTGTTGTTTGTTCGTGTGTGAGCGTGTCTCATGTCTTCTGGTGTGATGGGGCGTGAGAGAGGGTCGTCTGGTGAGAGTGTGTTGAGTGATATTGTTTGTGATGGGAGAATCAAGTGTTGCAGCTGTTGTAGTGTTTGTGTAACCTCGGTTTCTGTGTCTGGGTCGAATGTCGTGTTTTCAGCAGGGGAGATTTGGAAGTTCTGTTGCCAGAACTCCCTGTGGACAGCTTCCATCCCCTCTGCTGTGTCTATCTTTTGTCTATTGGTGTTGTATATGTATGTGATAGTCTGTCTGTTCGATCCTAAGAGTCGTCTGTACTTCAGCCAGAAGACTTTAGGATCTTTTATGTTGTTGCATAGTTCTCGTGTGAGTGTTTCCCAGTGTTGGTTACTCATGTATTTTGTTTCGTTGGTCAGTTGTCTTTGAATTTCTCTGTATCGTGAGCGTAATTCGGTGTTCCATCCCTGTGTCTCAGCAAGGTCCCGAAGGTGTCTGTATTGTATTTTCAGTGTTTTTAGACGATGTGTTTCTTTGTAGTGTACGAGTGTTTTGAATGTTGTTTTGGGAATGTTTGCCTCGCGGGCGGTCTGTATGTCTGTGTACCACTGATTAAGGTGGTGGTCTATTGTGTGCGTGGGTTGCCCCTCGAGATCAGGAGTGTGTGTGTGTTCGAGTGCTTGTTTGAACCCTTCCCAGTTTGCATGTTTGAGGATCTCTCGGGGAGGTGTAGGTACCATGATGGGGTTTGTGGAGAGTGTGAGTATGACGGGGGTGATTGGATGAGTGGTGATGGTTCAGGTTTGCTTGTGTGTTTGGCTGTGTGGAGCTGTTGTTGTCACGTATGAATGTGGGTGCGTGTGGGCCGAGGTGGGTGAGTCTGCCGTCGGAGATGAGTGAGGCGAGGCCTCTTCCGACGGCGTTTGTGTCTGTGTATCCGAAAAGTCTGTGATGTGCGTTGAAATCTCCCATTATGTATGTTGGTTTTCTGTGTCGCAGGAGCTGATATATGTCAGGTTGATCTATGTAAGGTCTGCGTGGAGGGATGTAGGTGGTGGCGATGATGATGGGTCCATGAGGTGTGTCTATTTCTATGGCCATGAGTTCTGAGGTGAAGGTGTCGAGTATTTTGTGTTTGATGTGTTGTTTGACTGCGATGGCTACGCCGTCGCTGCCTTCGTTTGTTTTGTTGGATGTGTATGTAGTGTAGTTGAATATTTTTAGTGTTTGTGGATGTTTGAGTGAATGGGAGTTGATGAGTATGATGTCAGGGTCGTGTCGTCTGTAGTGATTGCAGAGTTCTTGTCTTCGTCTGTATGTCCATGCTATTACATTATGTTGTATGATGGTGAGTCTGGAGTGTAATGTGTTGTTGTGTGGTG